ACTTACAATGCTTGACTCCGGGTTTCGATACCCGTGGTGGGCAGAGCACAGATAGCCCATTGTGTAGCTTTGTGCTTAATTACAAACAAACAAATACTAAATAACAGTTCACTTTAGCTAATAACGAGTAGAATAGCCGAAATCACAACATAAAAAGACAAAACAAAAAACTCCGATATTATTTTGATGACTGAAAGAAACAGGTGCAGAGGTTCCCCGGTGGCTCAGTGGTAAGTCTGAGGGCTTATAATGCTAAAAGCTGGGCTTCAATACCCGCGGTGGTCAGGCTATAGATACCTCATTGTGTAGCTTTGTGATTAACAATAAACAAACAGGCGCAAAGCTGGGAGAATTATTGTTGATTTGAGGCATTAAGAAGACATTTTCTTGAGTTACTCCCTTACAGTGATACCTTGTTTAGCATTATTGACTATTAGATAGACAAGCGCCAGGTGCTAGAGAATGTAGAGGGGTATTCTGTTTTTAAAGTTACACAATGGACTATCTGCGTGATTTCCACCGCGGGTATCGAACCCGATGTTGTTGTTTTTTGCACTGTAAGCCCACAATCATACCATTGAGCCACTGGTGGGAGTGAGTAGGGGAGAAGAACGTTGAAAAATTTATTAAATTGTTCAATTTACATTGGAAAGCTTACCCTTGTAATTTTGAATAATAAACTTTATATTTCTGGATACAGCTGTACAGTCGTCAAATCACCTTTTATCGAAGTTTCGATTTTCTAACTTTCATAGAGTAAACTCTTCTGGGTGCTAAAATTTCTGTTTAAAGACAGTTAATTAACCATTGTTTTTTCAATGTAATTTACGAAACGATACAAATGTAAAGGCTTTAGTTAGCGTTTAGCTCTTGAACACGGATAGTTTTAGTAACTGTGCTAAAATATCTTATGTAAATTAAATTAACACCGCTGATAATATACAAGCAAATATTAGGTTGTCAAGAAATTAATGTCGCGTTTTCATACACTTTCGTTAACCACCCCCCAAAAAACGTACATCACGTATAATAGTTAAACGAACCGCCTGAACGTCATGTTAGTGTAGCCTATATAATGTGTAAAGTTTGATATACTCTAATCCCTTATGGTGATGGCACACGACGAGACACACATTCTGCATGTAATGGTGTTTGAATGCAAAAAGGGAAACAACGCCTCTGTAGCCACAAATAATGTCAAAGAAGTTTATGGAAATGTTTTGAACGTTTGTAAATGTCAATGGTGGTTCATAAAATTTCGTTCAGGTGACTTTAGCCTTAA